AGGAGTCCCGGGCGGGGCTTTGATCTGCGCGTCAAAAGCTTCTTCAGTCTCTTCCGTAGGCGGAGTGGAGAAGCATTGCCAGCGTCCGTCTCCAGGGCAACCGTCGGCTGGAATCGACTACGAGTCTGTCTCCATGGCAACTGCCAAAGGGCCGGCGCTAGGAGAAGGCCCTTAGTTACAGGCGCTTTTAAGTAGCAGGGATGCTCAACAAAACAGCGTACTCTGCTCGTAAAACCTTTTTTTTTATTTGTTTATGATAGTCACAGAGAGAGGCAGAGACACAGGCAGAGGGAGAAGCAGGCTCCAGGCACCGGAAGCCCGACGTGGGATTCAATCCCGGGTCTCCAGGGTCGCGCCCCAGGCCAAAGGCAGGCGCCAAACCGCTGCGCCACCCAAGGATCCCTCTGCTCGCAAAACTTAATGGGTAAGGTATGTTCGAGCACAAAGAAGGGAGGAAAAGTAGGTAGGGTGGGAAAGAGCTAATGAGAGGAAGGTTTCTCAGAGGAGGGGATCTTTGAATAAGGTTTTGAGGGATGAGTAGGAGGTCAGCAGAAAGAGAAGAAAAGGAGAAAAAAATACCATATTTACTTCTCAATCTGGTCGAAATTTGAAGCTGAATGACCTAGGTCTTAAGGAAGGTGTGGGGAAGCTACCATTCTCGTACCATGCGGGTGGGGAGGGGAATGACTTCAGCCTTGAACTAAATAAGGCAATTGACTATTTTCTGAGAACCTACTATGTTATAGGCAATGCTCTAGGCGCTGGGGATATAGTAGCGAAGGACACACATGGACCTGCCTTCAGGGAGTCAGGGAGCAAGCAGTACGTAGGAGACATTAAAGGGATATTATGATTTGTGCTATAAAGTAACCAGGCAAGGGGCTGAGACAGAAATGAAAGATTAACTGTGGTCAGGAATGCAAATATTTGAGAACATATATGTGTGCCAAAAGTCATATAATTCTCAAGTGAACTGTAGAGAAATCTTAATGTATAGCAGCTAGAGATTGCCCTTCCTGTAGATTTCTTCTTTCTAGCCTGAGTTGGGGTTTTCTTTTACTTGCCATTGAAGGCATCCTGAAGTACCAGGATGAACAGATTGCCTTGCTTTTGGTCTCTTTGGCTACTTGAGTTGGTAAATAGTCTCTTGTTTGAGCTATTTTGAATTTTTCTGTGACCTGAAAACCAATACATCCTTCATAATAAAGTCTTATTATTCTCCTTTGAAAAAATAAGGAAACAGAATCAGACAACAAGACAATGACAAAGGCAAGATTCAAAATTAGCTCCTTTTAGACAAAAAATCCAAGTGTTCTACATTAGTATGTGAGTAAAAGGGTGGGCGCGAGTCTTTGAGAAGGAAGTGGATCAAATGTCGTGATAAACGAACATACATGGTGGGATATACTAGAAGAATGAGTTTTAAAGATACTACTCCACTGGCTTTGAACATGGAGGAAGGGGCCACAAAACAAGGAATGCAGCCTAGAGCCTGAAAATTCACACCATAAGACATTTTAAAAAAATGTAGATGAAATGAAAATTTAATTGTTAAAAAGTTGTAAAAGTACTAGAATAAAATATAGGATAATCTTGGGGGTGAGGAAGGCCTTTCTTAGCATGATATTTAGGTCCAAGAACTATAAAAGAAAATACAAACAGATTTGAATACCTTAAGTTTTAAAAATTCTTTATAGAAAAATACATCATAAACAAAATTGAAAGAGCAATAACAAACCGGGATAAAATATTAGTAACATACCAAAGGGTTAATATATGTAATACATAAAGACTTGCTCCTATAAATCACTACAAAAAATGGCCCAATTAAAAGTGGGGAAAATACATAAATATGCAATTTTTGTTGAAGGCAAAAGTTCAATAAACACATAAAAGGTCATTAATTTCACTATTGATAGGACATTTTTACTTATTAGATAAAAATTTTTAAAAAAACTCTTTTAAAGATTTGCTTACTTGTGAGACAGCAGAGCAAGAGAGAGCACAGAGGAAAAAGGAGGAGCAGATTCCTCAATGAGCAAGGAGGCCAACGTGGGGCTCAATCCAGGACCCTGAGATTATGACCTGAGCCAAAGGCAGACACTTAACTGACTGAGCCACCAGGCGCCCTAGAAATATTTTACAAAGGTAATACGGAGTGATTTTTGAAGGAAGTTGGGCAACAGAGAAATAGGAATTCATGTACACTTCCAGGAGTCATGTAAATTGGTTCATCTTTTTTTGGAGGATTATTTAGCAATAATTATCAAAATTTTAAGTGTGGACATTCTGTTGTCCCACAGGTTTATTTCTAGGAATTCATGTTATGGAGATTTCTTGCACAAGTGTGCAATAGTAAATGTCTAATGATGGAAAAGAAAACAATCTCAATGTCCATTAATAGGGTTTGGTTAAAGAAATTCAAGAAACCCTAGCATGAACTATTATGCAATTGTTAAAAACAAGGATATGTGTATAAATAAATAAATAAATAAATAATAAATAAGCATTATCATAGGAAAATATCCACATTATAACAAGTGAAAAAAGTCACTTCTAAAATCACAGGTGTGGGGGCGCCTGGCTGGCTGTCAGTGAAGCATGAGAATCTTGGTCTCGGGGTTGTGGGTTCGAGCCCCATGTTGGGTGTGGAGATTACTTAAAAAAATAAAAGTCTTAAATCATATGTGTGTGCATATACTGTATAAATTGTATAGTGTGTATTTATGTGGATATACACTTGTGTGCATATACCCACACACACAACCAGTATTTCATAAAAACAAAAAGGAAGTTCATATTCACAGAAAAATATCTAGAATCTTTGGAATGAAGATTTATAGAGAGCCATTGCTTTCATTTTTGTTTTCTGAATTATTCACCAAAATGAGTATTTTGTCAACCATGAAAGGAATCATATATTAAAAGAAATACCTGGGAAGACTTTAAACATGGTAATAGTTACCATATATGATGTTGGTGAGATGAACCTATTTTCTGCTAGTCACATTGCCAATGGATACAGAACTTCTGGGAGGCCATTGGCTCACACATCTGGGATTATGGAAACATTCTTTCTTTGACTCCTGACTTCCCTGCCAGGATTTCAGCTGGAAACTGGTTGGATGCTCAGCTAAAGACTTTAGTAGAAGGGACCTTTAGAAAATTAAAAAACTGGAAACAACCAAACTGTCCAATGGGGATTGGCTAATTCACTGGATGAATAAACTATGTAACCTCCCCAAACATTTGGTTGTTAAAGATTATTTAGTGACATGGGTAAATCATGATATTTAATGATAGGGACCCATGCTATAAAGTTAAGTAAACTAGAAATATGCCAAGTTGCATATTCAGTATACCCCACATTTATTAAAGCATATATAATATATATAATTTTTAAAATAGCAGAAGTATATCCAAATGTTAATGGTTATCTCTGGGTGGCACTGAACTTTAGGTGAAATTGTCTGGACTTCTTGGATCTTCTAAATTTTCTATAAGAAGCACATTTTGATTTTTATAATAATAAACATTATTTTAAGAATGAAAATACTATATGTGAAATGTGCACAATCCCCATAGAAGTTCAGAGCATAGCTTGTGAGCCTGACTCCCTGGGCTTGAATCTATACTCCACAAGCTCAAAGCTGTGAGGCTTTGGCCAGTTCATCAACTTGTGCTTTGGTGTCCTCGCCTGTAAAATGGGATGATACAGCCCCAAACAGGTGCGATTGTTGAAAGAATGAGGATTCATACATACCAAGGGCTTGGGACAGTACTTGGCACAGAGTAGGTTACTGAAAATACTAGTCATTCTTTATATTTGATGTAGGACAAAATTATGGCTGTTCAGTGCTGGCAAAAATATAGTGGAACTGTGGTCTCATGCTCAGCTTGTGCCAGGTAGACTAGTTCCAGCTCACTTGGAAAGCAATTTGACAAAATGTTCCATAGTCAGGAAAATCATTAGAATCTTGCCCCTGCTATTTCCATCCTGGGAATACAACTTTGAGAAAAAATCTTCTCAGAAAGAGAGAGGAAGCAAGCATGGAAATGTTCATTATAACATTACTAATAATTGGGAGAATTGGTGAATCTGTGTCAATCGGGGCTTAGAACAAAGCCTAATGGGGGAATGGATTTGTAAATTTCTTTGCACCTGCCAATGAAATATTAGCCTGAGTAAGGACGAGTATGAAGTGTATGTGATTACAAAAGACAATGCTCATAGTATAATAGGGGCAAATCAGAGAAGCCAAAATTTTGTCTATACTCTGATCACAGGAAATAAAATAACATGTAGTTAAAAACGGTATTTGAGAGACGCCTCAGTGGCTCAGTGGTTGAGCATCTGCTTTTGGCTCAGGTCATGATCCTGGGGTCCTGGGATCGAGTCCCACATCAGGCTCCCCATGGAGAGCCTGTTTCTCCCTCTGCCTATGTCTCTGCCTCTGTGTATGTCTCTCATGAATAAATAAAATCTTTAAAAAAATAAAAAATAACTGAAAATGATATTTGGAAGAGAATACCAAAATATCAAAACAATAGGATTTCTGAGGGTATTTTCCTTTTGTTTTATGATAAAAAATATGAATATGTAATACAGAGTAAAACAAAACCAGAAATACACGCAAAATGACTGGCACTTTCTGGGCTGTGTGGTTATGAGGAATTGGTATTTTATTCCATACCTCTCTCACTTTCCAAATTATTCTTTATGATGAGCATATTTTATTTTACTTAGAAATGTTTCCTGTTATAAAAGTATGTGCATTTATTTTTATTTTTTTAAATTTTTTTTTGTTTTATTTATTTATGATAGGCACACAGTGAGAGAAAGAGAGAGGCAGAGACACAGGCAGAGGGAGAAGCAGGCTCCATGCACCGGGAGCCCAACGTGGGATTCGATCCCAGGTCTCCAGGATTGCGCCCTGGGCCAAAGGCAGGCGCTAAACCGCTGCGCCACCCAGGGATCCCTGCATTTATTTTTATAATAGAAAAATAAATACTATTGTTGGTTTGTTTTTTGTTTTTTTAGAGAGAGGGTTCAGAGGCAGAGGGAGAGAGAATATCAAACAGGCTCCACACCCAGTGCAGAGCCCGATGCAGGGCTTGATTTCATGATCCTGAGACCAGGACCTGAGCTGAAATTGAGAGCTGGATGCTTAACTGAGCCACCCAGGTGGCACCCAGCTCCCCCACCATGTTTTCTTAATACAATGTTTTTATGATGAAAACCTAATGAAAGAAAAACTTCCCTTTGAGCATGAATAAAAACAGAAAATGATGTTTAAGAGGGCAACTGCTTTATAAAACATAAATCTTGGATGTGGGAAACATAGAAAAAATAGGCCTTTAAAAATGGCTGTAAATATGTGGAATATATTAAGCCAACTGCAGATTTTACCATGAAATCTGGTTTCAAGTTTTAAAGGAAACTAAAATCTAGTATTTATGTTCGGCTACATAAACTTGTACTTGAAAGGGTTAATCTTTCCAGCTGTGTGTTTTTTTTTCTTGAATATTCAAGCTCCGATTTAATGAATGATCAATAAATTTAAAAAGTTCACAGAAACCCTCTGCGACACTGTAAGAATGAAAAATTGGGGGGAGGCTGAGATTTTAGGGGGAGATCCTAAAATGATCAGAAGCTGTCCCAGCTGGTGATGAACTGTGTCAGCTCCTTATAGGTAATAGAGAAAGTGGTTCTCTCAATATATGGTGTTAGGGTTCCTCTCTGGGAGGAAGTTACTGGTGCTGATGAAGGCTGAACTGAACCCAACAGCAGAGCTGCCCATCTGCTCCCTTCTCAGGCTTTCTGGTCAGCAGTTCTCTGATAATCAGCAAGCTGTGTGCTCCACGCAAAGGCTTTCTCAAAATCATCACAGATGTAGGTGGCATGCACAGTGTGAAGTCTCTGGTGTTTAGTCAGGTGGGAACTCCAGCTGAAATCCTCCCCGCATTCCTTACACACATAGCGTTTACCACCCATATGAACCTTCTGGTGTTGAATAAGGTGTGAAATCTGGGTACAGGTTTTTCCACAGTTGTTACATTTATAGGGCTTCTCTCCGGTATGGATCCTCTGATGCTGAATGAGATGGATGCTCTGGTTGAAGGCTTTCCCACATTCCTTACAGGCATAGGGTTTCTCGCCAGTGTGAATTCTCTGATGTTGAGTGAGGGACGAGTTGTGACTGAATGTTTTCCCACACTCTTGGCACTTATAGGGTTTCTCGCCTGTGTGGATTTTCTGATGCTCGATAAGATGGGTGCTCCGGCTGAAGGCTTTCCCACACTCACTGCACTCATAAGGTTTCTCTCCGGTGTGAATTCTCTGGTGTTGGATAAGGTGGGAAATCTGCGTATAGGCCTTCCCACAAACTTTACACTCATAGGGCTTCTCCCCAGTGTGAATCCTCTGGTGGCGTGTAAGTGAAGAGTTCTGGCTGAAGGTTTTCCCACATTCATTACATTTGTAGGGCTTCTCACCAGTGTGAATCGTCTGGTGCTGAGTGAAGGAGGAGGTGTGGCTGAAAGCCTTTCCACATTCACTACATATATAGGGTTTTTCCTCCATGTGAACGCTCTGGTGCCTCATTAGGTGGGAGATCTGTGTATAAGCCTTCCCACACTCATTACACTCATAGGGCTTCTCACCAGTGTGAATTCTCTGATGCTGAGTGAGGGATGAACTGTGGCTGAAGGCTTTGCCACACTCGGAGCACTCATAGGGTTTCTCTCCAGTGTGAACTCGCTGGTGCTGGGACAAGGATGAGCTGTGGCTGAAGGTTTTCCCACACTCATTACATTTGTAGGGTTTCTCTCCAGTGTGGATTGTCTGGTGCTGAGTCAAGGAGGATGTGTGACAGAAGGCCTTGCCACACTCACCACATTTGTAGGGCTTCTCCCCTGTGTGAATTTTCTGGTGGCGGGAGAGGTGGGACACCTGTGAGTAGAACTTCCCACACTGGTTGCATTTATAGGGTTTCTCCCCAGTATGGCACCGCTGGTGTTTAATGAGAGAGGAGCTCTGTGTGAAGGCCTTTCCACATTCTTTGCATTTGTATGGCTTCTCTCCAGTGTGGATCCTCTGATGTTCAGTAAGTGATGAGCTCTGTGTAAAGGTTTTGCCACATTCGATGCACACGTAGGGCTTCTCTCCTGTGTGAATGATGTGGTGCTGAATGAAATAAGAGCTGTTGCTGAATGCCTTCCCACAATCATTACACTTGTAGGGTTTCTCTCCAGTGTGAATTCTCTGGTGGAGAATATAGTCTGAATGGTAAATGAAGGCTTTCCCACATTCGGTGCAGTTAAATGGCTTCTTTTCTACAAAGGTCCTTTGGCACTTCAGGCTCTTTCTTGGACCATTCCTCTTCCAAGTTTGCTCTCCCACAGGCCCTCTTTGCTTCCACATGAAGGCTGAGGTCTGCCTGAGGCTCCGCCCAAGCTCACGACAGCCCAGGCCTCTCTCCCCATAGATATTTTCTTTGGGAGTAGCAAACAAACACCTTGAATGCCTCTCTTGCTTTCCCTGGTTCTTCAACCAATGGCTCCATGTCCAGGATCCCACCAGCCTGGCATCCCCAAGTACTGCTCTTAAAACTCCCTCCATCTTCCCCATTGGGGAAGTGGCTTCTTCAGAAACCCTCCTTTTCCGAAGTGTCTCCTGAGTGGTTGCAGAGCTGGTGTCCAAGTCTGAAAGAGACGAAAAGCAAGACCAAGGAAGCAGATCAAGAACTGACCAAGAACTGAGGGATCCCTGGGTGGCGCAGCGGTTTGGCGCCTGCCTTTGGCCCAGGGCTCGATCCTGGAGACCCAGGATCGAATCCCACATCGGGCTCCCGGTGCATGGAGCCTGCTTCTCCCTCTGCCTGTGTCTCTGCCTCTCTCTCTCTCTCTCTGTGTGTGACTATCATAAATAAAAAAAAAAAATAAAAATTTCTAAAAAAAAAAAAAAAAAGAACTGACCAAGAACTGACACTGGAAGACTTTAAAAGACAAGTTACAAAGTTGATGTTGCAATTTCAAAAGACATGAGACAGATTCATGTTGTGACATGGAAGGATGGCCTCAAAATATTCTAAAAATAAAAAGAATGGAGTTGTATATGTTTATATATGTATGAATGTGTGTATGCACATGCCTGGTGGGATGGAGGGTTTTTTAATTCATTACTATTTACTTTTTTATTGTGGTAAAATACATACAACATAAAATATGACACTTAGATAAATTTTTAAAAAGACTTTATTTATTTATTCATGAGGACAGAGAGAGAGAGAGAGAGAGAGAGAGAGAGAGAGAGGCAGAGACACAGGCAGAGGGAGAAGCAGGTTCCATGCATGGAGCCTGATGTGGGACTCGATCCCAGGTCTCCAGGATCATGCCCTGGGCCGAAGGCGGCGCTAAGCCACTGAGCCACCGGGGCTGCCCGACACTTAGATAATTTTAAATACTAGTGCACATTCCCCCCTTTTCAGCCCTGGCCATGACCATTCCCCTTTGGTTATATGAATGTGCATAATCTAGGCACCTCATGTAAGGGGAATCATACCATATTTATCCTTTTGTGTCTGGCTTATTTCACTGACCATCATGTCCTCAAGGTTTATTCACATTGTTATTATTTACTTTTGTAATTAAAAAATAAAGCTTTTGGGGTAAAATCTTAAAAAAGCAAAATTTTTTGAGTAAGAAGCAGGATTATGGGGAGATTTCCATTTCCTGCTTTATTTAGATTTTCGAAGTTTCTGTGATGAACACATATAAGTATAATTTGTTCAAAATATATCAATAAATAGGAGTGCCTACATGGCTCAGTTGGTTCAGCATCTGCCTTCATTCAGATCAAGTCATGATCTCAGGGTCCTGGGATTGAGCCCCACCTCTGGCTTCCTGCTCAGCAGGGAGTCTGCTTCTCCCTCTGCCCCATCCCCTGTTTGTTCTCTCTCTCAAATAAATAAATAAAATCTTTAAAAAAGATATCAATAAATATTAAATGTATGTGAGGCTTTTATAGTACAGTCTTGCAATTTGGAGAACTGGAAGTGCAGAGAAGAGATGATAAGCAGGAAACAAAGGCATGTGGAATTTGTTGAAGGGGATTGATTTTTTTTTTTGATGCTAGTAGATCTGTTCATGGAACACCTATTAATAGCAAAAATTGTTATGTGCTAACCACAGTGCTGGGGGTGCATGCCTCTGTGCTGAACGAGACATCTGACCCTTGCCCTCAGCGAGGGGGAGGGACAGACTTGTATTCAGACATTCTGGACAAAGCTTCCTTGTCTTTTTAGCATCCTTGCCCTTGAAGAACCACCGTTACCCTTTCTGTGTAGTCTGGGTGGGGCTGTTAATCACAGTCTCTCCCCCCTCTCCATTTAAGGAGGGGGCATGAGAGCAGGCTGGCCAATGAAAACACCCTATACCCCAGGGCATGACAATTGGTTCAAGATCCAAACAGAGCCAATCAGAGTCTTCTTTGAGATTGATAGATGGTGTTGCTAAGCAGAATATAAATTTGAAGCTGCAGGCAGCAGAACCAATTACCATGTGGAAAGGCCTAAAGAGGGGCCTGGGTGGCTCAGTCAGTTAAACATCTGCTTTCAGCTCACATCATGATATCAGGGTCCTGGGATCAAGCCCTACATTGGGCTCCCTGATTAATAGGGAGTCTGCTTCTCCCTCTGCCTCTGCCCCTGCTCGTGTTCTCTCTCTCTTGCTCTCAAATAAATAAATATAATCTTTAAAAAAAGGGAAGGCCTGAAGCTAGACTGAAGCTAGAAACAGAAGCTACATGGGGTGGGGGAGGAGAGAGAGAATGAGTGAACCCTGACAACACCGTTTATGGTCTTAGATCTATCTATGCCTAAAATCTTGCACTGCAATACTTTCCACATACAGGGATCAAAAAATAAATCTAATTTTACTTAAGCTCTTTTGATTCTTAAGCTCTTTCAATGCAAAAGAGTCCAGACCAATGCATCCAGGTAACCACAATACTAAGAATAGGATAAAAACAATTATGATTGCATTAGGTAACATTTATTAAATGTGCCAGACACCATTGTAAGCTTCTTCTATCTTTTACCTAATTGAGTCCTCAAAACTAACTCATGAGGTGGGTACTATTAGTGTCCCTACTTTACAGATAAGGAAATAAAACTAAGTCACTTGCCTACAGCCATACAGCTTATCAGTGGCAGAATGGGGATCTGAGCTTAGAGAGTCTGGCTCCAAAGCCCATACTCCTTACAACATGAACAAGTGCAGTGACAGCAGTTCAAGCGAGAAGCTGTGAAAACACTCAGAAGAGACAGGTCACTTAGCCTGGAAGTCAGGGAAGGCCTCCTGGAGGACTTGACCTGATGCCTTCGTCTTGAAACATGAAGGTGTTTGCCAGGCAGATGGAGCTGGGAAGAGTGTTCCATGCAGAGGGAACATCATGAGTAAAGGCCCAAAGGTGGGAATACACATTCAAGTTCAGGTAGAGACAGGTGCTTCAGTGAAGTCAGGGCGTGGGGTACAACCATGGGTGGATGGTGATGAGAGGTGAGACCAGAGATAGCACAGCCGGGTCACACAGAGCCTTGAGTGCCAGGCTGAGGGGTTAGGACTTGCTCTCAGGGGTACTGGGAAGCCAAGGGAAGGTTGTGAGTAGGGGAGGAGTAGGATTAGCTCCCAGTGTAAAAGACCCCTTTGGGGCTGTGTGAGATGAAGTGAAGGGCATAGGACTAGAGGCTGGGAGGTTAAGGTGGAGGCCAGGGTGAAAGTCCAACTGAGGGAAGCTGAGGCCTGAACCAGGGCTGTGAGAGAGAGTGCAGGGGACTGGGAAAAGTTAGGAGGTGGCTGAGACAGGACTGGAGACCCATGGGCTGTGGCGAAGGGGAAGAAGGGGGCAATCCCCCCACCCCAACCCGCAGGACAGTGACAGAAACAAAGATGTGTCAACCCCCTCCCCTCATAGAGGTCATGGACCAGTGAGGAACAAAACTCTGGCTTCCTGTTCCCCACCATGTCAGGCAGGGTCCCACTTCTGGGTCTTTACATAGATGACTCCCAGTAAAGAATCACCAATAGTCACTGTAGCCTATTCTGACCAGGGGGTTACCATGCACCAGGCACTGGGCTATGCTTCCTTGTGTTAATTCATTTATCTTTCCCCACCCTGGATACTAGTATTGACCCCATTTTGCAGATGAGGAAATTGAGGCACAGGGGGGCTAAATGACCTGCCTGAAGGTCACAGAGCCAGGAAGTGGTGAAGCTAGGATTTGAACCCAGTGCTCACAATTATGGCCCGTGTGTTATGCTGCCTTGTTCTTGTTACTGATCAGGACAGACAGGGTAGGAAGATGCATCACACCTGCTGGACAACCTCACGCACCTGGACAGGTAGCTTGCCAGGCTTCTCTCTTCTCCATTTTGGGCTCTTCCCCTCGTTCCAGACGGGAGATCACCTCGGGTTTGGATCCAGGAGGCCCCGCCCCTGGAAAAGACACAGGTTTGGCCATGCCTGTCAGTCACTGGGACGCCCCTGGGCTGGGTCCCAGGCCCTGGGTCTGCAGGGGAGATGCATACATGGGGTGTCTAACAGTTAGAAGCTCTAATGGTCCAGGACCCTGGGTGGCTCAGTCGGTTAAGCGTCTGACTCTGGGTTCCGGCTCAGGTCATGATCTCAGAGTCCTAGGGTTGAACCACTTGTTGGGCTCCCTGCTCCATGAGGAGTCTGTTTGAGATTCTTTCTCTCTCTCTTTCTCCTTCTGCCCTTCCCCTAGCTCACACTCTTGCTAGCTCTCTAAAATAAGTAAATAGGGGATCCCTGGGTGGCGCAGCAGTTCAGCACCTGCCTTCAGCCCAGGTGATCCTAGAGTCTTGGGACTCTAACGGTCAATGCAAGATTCATTTACTGAGTGCCTACCACATTCCAGAAAGAGTCCGAGCCTTGACATCACTGCTAAGACTCTGGTTCTGTGCTGCTCACGCTGAGAATAGAAATGTACATCAAAGGGCATCTGGGTGGCTCAGTGGTTGAGTGTCTGCCTTCAGCTCAGGTCGTGATCCCAGGATCCTAGGATCAAGTCCCACATCAGGCTCCCCATGGGCAGTCTGCTTCTCTCTCTGCCTATGTCTCTGCCTCTCTCTGTGTGTCTCTCATGAATAAAATCTTTAAAAAAAAAAAAGAAACATCAAAATTCAAAGACTTACTTACTATGGAGAAAAATGTAAAAATATCATCAATAATTGGTCTATCAATTATCATCTTGACAGGTACCAAAATGATCATATTTTGGACACACTGAGTACAATAAAATACGTTACTAAGATTAACTCATTCCTTTCTTTCTACTTTTTCATGCCTGCTGTCTTTGAGACCACCAATTTCTCTTTGCTGATAGTGGGTTGAACAGTGTTCTCTCAAAATTTTGTCCACAGAAACTTCGGACTGTGACCTTACTTGGAAACGGGGGCTTTGCAGATGTAATAAGTGAAGATGAGTTCCTAGGGGAGTCGGCTGGGTCCTAAGTCCCAAGACTGGTGTCCTTGTTTGAAGAGGACAGACACACAGACACACATGGAGGGGAAAGGTCATGTGAAGATGGAGGCTGTGATGGGGATGATGGGGGCTTAGGGCGGGGAACAGCAAGGGTTGCCAGGAGCCTCTAGAAGCTGCATCCAGGAAAGACTCTGCCCTGGAGCCATCAGAAGGAGCAGGGCTCTGTCCACATCTGGACTTTGCACTTCTGGCTTCTGAACTGTGAGGGAATTCATTTCTGTTGCTTTAAGCCACCAGGTTTGTGGTATTTTGTTACAGCGGGTGCTGGGAAACTAGTACACTTGCCTACTGACCCTTCCCACGGGCAAGTGTGCGGACACAGTCCCCACCTCAGAAGGCAAACCTGCCTCCGGCCAGAGAAGTAAAAAACAAACGGAATGGATGGAGATGAGACCAAGGAGGTTGGCAGGGGCCCAGGCACAGAAGGGTCTGAAGCTGGTGAAGGCAGTGCCCAGCACTGGCAGGCGACTGTCCCTGAGATGGAGGGGCCAGAGGAGGAATGTATCTGTGGGGCATAGTGAGCTCAGGGGAAAGGCAAAAGGGACCTATTTCTTTACACCCAAGTTGTGCAGAAAATGGTTCACACAACAGGCTGCCAGCTCTCCTTGAAAGGCCTGCTCCCATGGCTGCCAGGGCTGGCATCTGGGAAGCTGGATTTTGGGAGGGTTCCCAGAACTCCCCAACCGACAGGATGGGGGGGTTCCCATACCTAAGTGGCTTGTGCAAAAAATATGGTTTCTGCTGGACAACTGCTTTCCTTCAGGGAGTCTGGAATTTTGGCACATGCCAGGCTGGGAGTGCTGACATGACCAGCCCCAGCTAAAAACCCAGGGTGCTGACGGGGCCTCTAGGAGTGTCTCTGGTGGACAATACCTCATGTGTTGTCATATCTTTTTTTTTTAAGATTTTATTTATTTATTCATGAGAGATGCAGAGAGAGAGGTAGAGAAACAGGCAGAGGGAAAAGCAGGCTCCCTGTGGGGACCTCGCTGTGGGACTTGATCCCAGGACCCCAGAATCACCCCCTGAGCTGAAGGCAGATGCTCAACACTGAGCCACCAGGTGCCCTGTCATATCTTGTGTGCCCTATGTGACTACACGGGGAGGGGACTCTGGAAGCTGGCCCTGGTCTCCCCTGCACTTGGCTCCATGTGCCTTACCCCTTTGTAGCCTGTGCTGTGTCCTTTCACTGCAGGGGGTCAGGGCTGGGAGTCCAAGGACATGCTGAGGCCTGTGGGTCCTCCTAGAGCCTGGGGCGCTTTCCCGGGTCCCCTGACACAGAAGTTTATGCGGGTTTTTGGTGAGTCTGTCCAGAGAAAGTGTGTGAATGAGGATGGCTGAGGAAGGAGTTTTTAAGCCACCAGAGCTTATAGAGAAAAGGCAGGACAGAAGGATGGGAAAAGGAAATTGAAGAAAGACAGAGGTGGACGGAAAAATAGACCACTGAGGAGGCTGGACTAGGGTCAGGGGGTGAGGATGAGACCAGGTCAGGGCTGGGCTTCTGAGATTGTTGGGAGGCTGTCAGGGAGCAGGGAGGGAGAAGCAAGGATGGTGTGGGGATGGGGTAGGGGGATGAGGGTCTCGTCTGGGGATGGGGGTGGGAGGGAGACGCAGAGGAGGAGGAGAAGCAGGTCAATGTGGAGATGCTGAGCTTAGGGTGAATATGACAAATGTGAGGGGCCTTGCAGGGGTACAGGAGGTGGGTGGATGAACAATGTAGGGCAAAGAAGACATATTTGGGGAACAGCATTTATGTGCTTTGGAAAGATTCTTAGACAGAGCCAGAGGGCTGGAGGACACCCAAGGAGCATTTGGAGTCTGAGATCCTAGAACAGATGTTCCAGTGAGGACCTGAGGTCACCACGTATGGAAAGGGGAGCAAGTGCACAGCTAATGATTCAATGCGAGACAAGATTGGCGTCTGTGTTGTGGAGGTTTCAAATAAAGAGCACTCTTCATAAAAAAAAAAAAAAAAAGGAAAGGGGAGCAAGAGAAGGTGAGGGCATAGCCTGAAGATTTTTCAGGACAGGCGGAGAACTCGGGGCCCTTGGGGACACAGGGACTCTAGGAGGAGTAGCATAGAGACATGGGGATAGAGGCCAGCCAAGAGGGACTGGTGAGAGGAGCAGAGAGGGCAACACATAACCTCAGAGAATCCCTGCTCTTAAGAAGTGGGTGGGCGCAAACAAGATGAGGGCAGAAGAGGGTGCATCAGGCATCTTCCTGGGAAGGCAGGGGGCAGGGCCTCACCCAGTGAGAGAAGGTTCTGGTAGTTCTCCAGCATCACATCCCGATACAGCTTCCTCTGGCCAGGCCCCAGCTGGCCCCATTCCTCCAGGGTGAAGTCCACAGCCACATCCTTGAAGGTCACTGATTCCTGCAAGGGCCAGTTTCACATGGTGAGGGGGCACATCCTTCTAGAACTCTGGGGCTGGAGAGGTCATGGGTCAAGAGCCTAGCACTGCCGGTGGCTGAACCAGTTCTAACATTCCAGGCTGGAACCTACTGACTCAGCAGATTTGAGGTAATAGAATAAAAATGGCCCACAGAAATACAGAAAGTTTAGTGCAGCTGCTAGCCCACTGGCACCTGGGCAGAAGGAAGGAATAAAGCTCCCTTTTGTGTGACTCTTTAGTGCCGTCTGTTGGGAAACTCATGATAATATGCCAATTATTTTAGTATATGACCATTTACTGCCATCTGCATGAAAACTGCCATAATATGTCAGTGTATGAGGTGTAGGATGTGAATCTTTTCACTGAAGCGAGGCACCCTTGTGCAGCGCAAAACCTGCACATCTGTGTACGACACCCCTAAAAAATACTTTAAAAAAATCAAGTCATTGTGTGCAAGAGTGATGCCTAAGTGGTGCTCCATCCCAGACCTGAGCTGGGATCCCAACCCCCATCCCTGACTCTGACAAGGCTTGGGGGTGAAGCAAAACCATCCACTGCCTGCTTCTCTTGGCAACCCAAAGGCTGCTGAGTGTTAATTAATGATTGATTTTTGGACTCTGTCATAATGTCCCAACTCAGAGCATCCTGTTCCCATCACCCCTCCTCCCTGCACCTCCTGGCCCCAGAATCCTTCCCACCATATCCTCTTCCCCATGGCTGGGAGGAACAGAAGATCTTCAGGCCACAGGCAGAGATAAGGATGACTTCCTGGGATCCACAAAATCATCCTGGGGAAGAGGAAGCCCAGACTCACCTGGTCTTCGGCCATCAGGGTCCTGGTGGCCACTGCTGGGTCCTGGGCATGTGCCTCTAGGAGAAAGGACCAGGCCTGAGTCCGCAGAGCTGGAGGAGGAGACTGGAGCACAGAGAGAGTCAGTTCTGGCCCAGACAGACAAACAGACACTTTCTCAAAGATGCCTAATGACAGATGGGACCCAAGTCTCCTAGGAGTTTGAGCAAAGGCTCAGGACAACAACCACTAGCAATCAAGAGGTTCAACTCACTGCACCCACATAACAGCTCCAAGAGAAGTAACTAGAGTTATTCGCAGAGAAGGAAACAGAGGCACAAGAGGTCAAGGCCTGGGGCACCTGGTTGGCTCAGTGGTTGAGCATCTGCCTTTGGCTGAGGTTGTGATCCTGGGGTCCTGGGATGGAGTCCTGCATCAGGCTCCATCTGCCTGTTTCTCCCTCTGCCTGTGTCTCTGCCTCTCTCTCTGTGTCCCTCATGAATAAATAAAATCTTAAAAAAAAAAGATTTGTTGGGGATACCTGGGTGGCTCAGCGGTTTAGTGCCTACCTTTGGCCCAGGGCGTGATCCTGGAGTCCCGGGATCAAGCCCCACATCAGGCTCCCTGCATGGAACCTGCTTCTCCCTCTGCCTGTGTCTCTGCCTCACTCTCTCTCTCTCCCTGTGTCTCTCATGAATAAATAAATAAAATATATTTTTAAAATTTGTTATTTATTTTACGGAGGGGGGAGGGGTAGACACAGAGGGAGAGTCCCAAGCTGACTCTGCACTGAACCTGGAGCCCAACTTGAGGCTCAGTCTCACGACACTGAGATCATGACCAAAGCCAAAACAAATAGGTCACATAACTGACTGTGCCACCCTGGCACCCCTTATCTTCCTATCTTAATGGATTTGTCTCTTCTGGACCTTTCATATGAATGGAATCATATAATATGTGGCCTTTTGTGTCTGGCTTCTTTCATTTAGCATAACGTGTTGGAGACTCATCCATGTGGTACCACATATCAAGGCCTCCTTTCTTTTTATGGATGAATGGTATTCCATGGCATGGATCTACCACTTTTTCCAGTGCTTCTCCTTCTCTCTCTCTCTCTTTCTCTCTCTTTTTTTAAATAGGGCGTGGAGCCCAGTGCAGGGCTTGAATTCACAACCCTGAGATCAAGACCTGAGCTGAGATCAAAGTCAGATGCTTAACCCACTGAGCCACCCAGGCGCCCCTGCAGAGCTCCTATCTGCCTTACAAATCCTGCATAAGGATCCTCATCTCCCACTTAAGATGTTGTTTGAAGAAAGGTTCCATCTGCTGAAAAAAAACTTTAAAAATCCTCCCCCCTAAAAAAATTTTCTGGCAAAGGAAAGTTAGTATTCAGACTATGGTCACTTCCATTCATTCATTCATATTCATTCAAATATGTTTACTGAGACTCATGTGAGATGACAGGCTCATCTGAGGATAGAATAATGAGCGAGATGCGCTCTGCCCTGAAGGGGCTCCCTGCCTGGTGGAGGAGAGAGGCCTGGACATAGACCAGGTGGTGGGCTGAACAATGGCCCTAAAAGATATCTTGTGGGATCAACCTGTGATGTCATTAAGTTAAGCACTTTAGATAGGAAGATTATCCTGGATTATCAGGGTGGGTCCTAAATGCAATCCTAAATGTCCTTCGAAGAAGGAGGCAGGGGGATATTTGACACAGAGAAGAAGGCCATGTGAGGAAGTAAAGAGAAGCAGAGCCAGAGAGAGACAACACCATACCTCTGGCTTTGAAGCTGGAAGAGGTCTCCCCTAAGGAACACAACAAGCCTCTAGAAGCTGAAAAAAGCAAGGAAACAGATTGTTCCCTAGAGCCTCAGGAGGGAGCAACTCTCTGCTGACACCTTGATTTTTTTTAATTTTTTTTAGATTTTATTTATTTATTCATGAGAGACACACAGAGAGAGGCAGAGACATAAACAGAGGGAGAAGCAGGATCCCTGTGGTGAGCCCGATGCGGGACTCAATCCCAGGACCTGGGGATCACGACCCGAACCAAAAGCAGATGCTCAATCACTGAGCCACCCATGTGTCCCTGACACCTTGATTTCAGCATGTGACACCCACTGCAGACTTCTGATCTCCCAAACCATAAGAGAACACATTTGTGTGGTTCAAAGCCACCAAGTTTGTGGTAACTTGTTATAGCAGCAACGGGAAGCTAATACAATCCAGAAATAAGAAGACCCTGGATCCCATGAGTTTCCAGCTACACAGGAAGAACACCAGCAACTGAAGGCTGAAACCAGGGGTGGGCCTGGGTGGTTCAGCATTTGAGCTTCTGCCTTTGGCTCAGGGCATGATCCCGGGATCTGGGATCGAGTCCCACATCAGGCTCCTTGCAGGAAGCCTGCTTCTCCCTCTGCCTATGACTCTGCCTCTCTCTCTCTCTATGTCTCTCATGAATAAATAAATAAAATCTTAAAAAAAAACCCAAAAAAACAAAACCCTGAAACCAGAGGGCAGAATTCTGATGAGGAAATGAGGAGCAGAGTCTTACAGACTCTAACTTATCTTCACCCAAGGCACTTAATGATTACAAAAAGAAGTTCACTTGAGAGGCGAGACACCCGGCAGGCACCACTGCTGCCAAGTGATGGGATGAGGACACAGCATCACCCCTGACCTATTCCCGACAAACCTAAATCGAATCACGAGGTAACAACACATCCAGACTAAAGCACATTCTAGAAGTCCCTGGTCTGTAGTCTTCAGAATCGCCAAGATCATCAAGATCAAAGAAAGACTGAAAAACCGTGTCAGATTCCTGGAGACTCAGCCCTAACAACGAATGCAGCGCGTGGTATGGGATTTTCTTTTGCCATTAAGTACATTATTGGAACAATTAGCAAAATTTGAAAGTCTGCAGATTAGGTAACAGTTTTTGTCGATGTTACTGTCCTCATGTGATCATGGTACTGTGGTCATGGAAGAAAATGGCCCTGTTTTTCAGAAACCACACAGACTCGCGGGGAAGGGGGGTGCGAAAACACACAGACGGGGGACTGAACAGCGACTGGGATGGCGGGAGGAGGAGATCAGAGAGAGGAGAGACCCAGAGAAAGGATGGCATGCTCAGGATGAGGGCAGAGACAGGACGTGACTGTGCGGAGTACCCGGGGACAGAGGGGGGCTCTCGGGTCAGACACCTCGGGGTGTGATCCCAGGCCGACCATTGTGACCTGCGAGAAGCCACAGAGTCTGTGTCTTCACCTGCTAAGTGAGGAAACACACGGTCTCCCTGGGAGACCGCGGCAGACCCGCGCTCCCCCGCCTCTTGGCAAACAGCAGGCGCCCAATTCTTGCGCGCTGCGATCGTCCGGAGCGTCGCGGGTGGCAGTCTCTGGGGCCGCCTCGCCAGTGACAGGACGGGGCGGGACACCGCCCACAGCGCTCACCGCGGCGCGACTCGAGCCGCCCCCCGAGCGCCCGCCGGCCTGCCGGGCTCGGCCCGTACCCACCTGCTCCGGCTCGGGGCCGCCAGGTCGGGACTCACCTGTGCGCCCCCGCGGTTTGCGCGGGGCGACCAGGCCTTCCCTCCCTCTGGCAGGCCGCGGAATGCGCCTGCGCGGTCGCTGTCTCGGAAAGCTGAAGCTCTGGTTCTTTGAACTCGGCTTCACAGCTGGACTCCGTTTCCCAGAAACCATCGCTGGCTCACGCCCCTCTCGGCCTAAGCTCCCTAAAGTCAGGGGAATGCTGGGAAATGGAGTCTAGGAGTGCCATGGGGGGCGGGAGGGAACGTGGTATTTTGAAATGTCTGGCTGTACTGGCACCGGGAATATTCCCATTTTAGCCAGAGACTTTTCGGTGCCCTTCACAGGAGTGGATGTCATATTCCATTTAACCTATTTAACGAAGTTTCCCCTGGAAAGTCCACAGGACATGCAGAAGCTGGCCCCATCTAAATTGATGGGAGTGAATTGAGCCTCTGTCACTTAATTACTATCTGTGGGCATCCGCTTCTGTTTGCCTCGGTTTCACCTATCACCTCCTAAAGGGTGGTGTGGTAAAGGAAATAGGCCCCTATAGTGGGAACTGGAAGATGTACGTTCAGGAATGCAAGGATGGTTTGCTATTGAGCTATCATATAATTTGCTAATTGGTATTTCAAAGAATACCACACATCCGTGGATATGAAAAGGATTTTGAGAATGTTCAGTAATAAGCCATTTCTACATAAACTTCATATATTTAAGAATAAGCCCATCTTGAATAGTAATGACAATAATCTTTTTTCTTTTAAGGATTTTATTTATTTACTTGAGAGAGAGTATGAGCAGGGGTGGGGGAGAGGAGAAGAGGGAGAGGGAGAAGCAGACCCCCCACTGAATATGGAGCCTGACTCAGGCCCTATCCCAAGCCCCTGAGATCATGACTTGAGCTGAAGGCAGACACCAGGTACTCTAGTAATGACAACAATCTTAAGGAGTTACTTGCTTCTCCCTTTAAAAAAATTATATACATATCATCAAAACTTCAAATCAGGCTTAATGCTGAAAACCAAGAGATTCCCCATGAAAGTCAGAACAAACTGTCCAAAGAAAACAAACTGTCCAATATGACCACTTTTGGAAGAACTATCAATGCAGTTAGACAAGAGAAAGAAAAGGTATCATTGGAACAAAGAAGTCTGGGTTTTCATCTTTCTTTAAATATGATATGATTGCTATCTTGGAAGTCAGAGAATCAACTGAAACACTAAGATAAGCCATGATTATGTAAATTACTGGGCACAAGATTAATAAAATCCCATGGATTTTCTCTTTTCAAACAAGAATGATGAAAAATCTAATTTAAAAAATTAGTGCCATAAAAATTAGTGGATTTTAGTGCCATATTTGCCTGATAGATTGTAATCTCATTGTGATCTGGGGCAGTTCTCTTCCACTCTGCACCGAGGTTTTATTCCCTATAATCCCTCATTGGGATAATGTGTGGCAGATAGCTCTTCTTCAAAGCCTTCCCCCTACTTTCTGTACACACAGCTATACTACATTTCCCAGCCTCCCTGGCAATCTGGGGTGGCCATATGACCAAGTTCTGGCCAATAAAATGA